ACAATGGGAGTACGGTGGGAGTACAATGGGAGTACGGTGGGAGTACAATGGGAGTACGATGGGAGTACAATGGGAGTATGGTGGGAGTAAGCACTCTGAAAATTTCGCTTTTTCCCCCTTGCCATTCATAACAAAAATTCTTCAAATCATCAATTGAACAACATATAATCATCGACAAAAACAACAACAACAACAACAACAATCAATATATTTCTAAACCATCAATCAATCAAACAACTATCGATTGGTTTGATTCATATGAAGCTGATCATCTTTATTTCATTGTATATAAAAAAGTAAATCTTTGTCAAAAAAATAAAATAAAACAAAATAAATCAATAGTTTTTTTTCTGTAATTAGCCTATTATGTTACATGATATACGAAATGTTGCTATAGTAGAAAATAATTCATTAGCTTTTCAATTTGATTATCATGGACGTCATTTTCTTTTCTTCACAAGTAATGTGAATGAAAAGTAAAATAATATTACAATTGTTTATTCATTGAAACTCGTTCAGTAGTTTCTTCTATGATGGAGTTTGATCTTGTGTATAAAAAAGTATAAGTCGAAGAATCAAACAGTGGCAGCTATATTAGACTTTATGCTTTTCTACACTAGTGACTGCTTTGACCACCAGAAAAAAATACGAAAAAACGTGCTTACATAGGTATCAATGTCAACAGTGGATGTACTTTATAGTGTTATCAAAAGTTTTTGTACATGATGGTGACTTACACCTCTACTTGTATGCAATATACTTCATTAGATTATTCATGAACATTCATTCTACGTGCATTCTTTTGCACTACATAATGAAATCTGAAGAATAATTAGGATAGTCACCTATGTGTTCTATGTATAGAATAGCGTCTAAAGGATCCAACATACTGAAACCTATGCCCGATCGAATGTATCCAATACCTTTCCCAGAAGAGTCTTCATATCATTAGTGTAACTCAGAAAGTATCATTAGAAAGTAGAATTATCTTGTCTTCCTAAGATTTCCAAAAATTTATCTCTATTTTATTAGACTTCTATGGATAAAAAATATCAATGATGATGCAATAAATATTTGTTGTCGACAACATTTAGTTACTTCAATGCTTCGTGCACCACAAACAAGTAAAATATGATTGCTTGATTCATACTCTATTGATTGTTATGTTTAGATTTGAACTTGACAATTGATCAATCGATTGGTAAAATAGACATTCGAGAAATCAATGTGATTAATTTATCATTAATATCATTACAAAAGAATGGTCAGTTTATAATCTATCAAATCAATGTATACTTTTCAAGACATTACATTTTCATCAGGCATTGTTTTTTTTACAAAAATCTCGTAAAATAGCTTCTCATCTAGGGTATTCTATCTATCTATTTGAACTCAAATATAATAAGGATTATACGATTTACACTGAAGTATTTTTAGACAATATTTTTTTCATTCTATGAGTGATTCATAATCTAGTCTTAGAGGTGTGTCATGAATGGGTGGAATGAAGTAAATCCTCATTCTTACTCTCTTCGTCTATTTGCTCTCAATCATTAGGAAAAAAACTTTCTTCCTTTTTTCTTTATAGAAGTTATCGTCATCAGAAATCACTTGCTTTTTTTCTCAGTTCAACTATACTTTAGCACATTTTTATCGATCCGTTAGCTCTCTAATTGAATTGAGTAACTTGAACTATACTTGTTGACTCGTTCTAGACTACAACGAGAAAAGATAGGAAACAAACTTATGAAATAAATTTCCACAACAAAGACATAAGAAAAAGCATGCTGTAATACAAAAGAAAAACGTACTGAAATGAACTATTTAAATATCAATTCAATCATTCCATTTACATATCCTATGTCATAATGCAGAGGTGCAGAATCTACCCGTGTGCGCCAGCGCGCGCTTGGGGAAATTTTTTGGATCTGGGGAAATTTTTGAAAAATTGTTAAGTGAATAAATTTTCAGATATTGTTGAGTGGGAAATCTTTTGAAAAATTGTTAAGGGGAAAATTTTTGGAAATTTGTTAATTGCAAGGTTGTTTCCAAAAGTAACTTTTTTCTATGTGAAAAAGATACCAAGTATCATTGCTCTGTCCACAAGTTTCTTGCCTTTGTGTTATCAACTATCTCTCTTATTGGTTTATTTACTTTTTATGTTTTTTAGTTGGGGAAATTTTTCGAAATAATTTTAGCGCTTGGGGAAATTTTTCGTTTTTACGACAGATTCTGCACCTCTATAATGACATATTTACTATACACGATCTAACAAACATCATTTTTTTTTTCAAAGTTTTCAAATTGTACCTGATGAGTTTAGTTTGAGGTTACCTAAATGACATATCCCTTTTGAGCTAAGTCCTCATGAAAACTTCATTCAAATTGAATTTGCATGATGTGCAAAACATTCATAATATATTTAAATCATAATCCATATTGTATAATTGAAATGAATCAATATCAACGTCAAACAACACATGTTCTTTGTGATACATTAGATTTACAATGGAATGTTTCATTTAGATTTTTTATTTTTGATATAAACAAGGATATTATTATATGTTCGATCTATAATCGATCTAAATATACAAAAGATTGTAAGATAATTTGAAAATATATCTTTTCTTATTCAATAATTTTAGGTCTTCTTGGTTCAATTAAAATTCCTTTACGATTATTAATTAGACAACAAGATTCAGTATCGATTTATTCATTAGGAACAAATCATATTTATGAAATGTCGATAGTCAATTTGACAATGCGTACATTTTATCTTGAACATTCATCAAATAATTCTCAAATATCTATAAAATATATTATTCATTTAAATGAATAATGTTATAATAATAACTCTTTGTTTTATTTGTTAATTGTTGTGCTCGTATGAAAGATTGTCTTATTGTTTTGTTTCTTTTTCCTCTTAATTATTATTATGTTTTCTTTTTGTAGTTGTTTTATTACTTTATGATTTTATTGTTGTGGCTGATATATTTCTTTTTAACTTCTAGTTAGTAAAAGAAAATGAAAATTAGTTCTTTATCTAGATCCATATATGTGCTTGATTTATTGTTATTACATTTCAGCATGTATTTGTATAAAAAACAAAAGAAGAGACAATAAATCAAAATTTGTATAGGATTGTTCGAAATCATTTATCAAATTATAATAACAAATGAATTTACAAATTTCAACCTACATGTTTTTTTTTTCTAGTTAATAATTGTTAGAATTTATTTTCTTAGTAAATTATACAGGATATATAAGTGTTGATGAATATAATTTTGTTCTAAAGAAGAAAATGCAAGATAAACATCAAGGAAATGTAGGCGAATGAGAAACAACAAAGTCTAAATGTATAGGTATATAGATGTGCTGAATCACTCATGTTCCGAAAATTGGATCAGTTTTAGCGGTAAAATGTGGTTTACTGCTGTTTTTTTTCTTGCGATGAAGAGAAAGCAGCAAGTGAATACAGAACTTGAATAGACTAAATAGAGTTATTATAATAAAGAAAATAGACATTTTTTATCACACAGAATTTATCATTGGTCATATATGAAAACAATTTCAATGTGGATTCTTTCATTTTTTATACAATAATATATCACTCCCCGTAAAAGACAACAGTTTCTCAAAAAAAAAAAAAAACTTATTCTTGTTTTCGTTGTTTGTTTTTGAAAATGGAATAAACTTTGATTATTTTATAAAATAAATTTCGCTCTATCAATAGTTATAAGAAAACTTTTTTCTTTTTTACATTGATAGTCTTAATTAAAATACAAAAAATATATGGAATGAAAAGTTTTGTATTGATCTTCTCTCTCTGATTGTGGTGTATATAATTTGTTTCTCTTTTTCGTTCATATTGTTACATATACATATAGAATAAAGACGAATAGAAAACAGATGAAATATTTTGATTTGTTGTCTTTAAGTATTAGGACAACATACAGTGCTGGCCAAAAGTCCCGAACCCCCTGAACTTCACTCATAATAAGAGCTAGACAGCTGAAATTTTGTATGTATATACCCTATAATGAATGCTGATCGTAGGCACAACCCCCGTCAT